CCACCATTACAACGTTCGTAGTAAGAATCAACTTTTAACTTGTATTGATGACTATTTACTCTTTGCCGAGTGTGAAGCTCCAAACTCTTATACTGCAGCAATTCAGTCTAGTGAAGAAGAACAGTGGAGAACGGCCATTAAAGAAGAAATGGATTCTTTGGCTGAAAATAATACCTGGAAACTAGTAACTTTGCCAGAAAATAAAAGGTTGATTTAAAGTAAGTGGGTATTTAAAATAAAGCAAAACGCAGATGGAAGTATTAGCCGCTACAAAGCTAGATTGGTAGCAAAAGTTATAGCCAGAAATTTGGAATAGATTATGATGAAACTTTTGGATATGATACGGTCAGAACAGTCCTTAGTGTAGCTGCATCTGAAAACTGTTACAATTTGACAGCGTTTTTGTATGAACAACTGCTGGAGGAAATTTATATGAAGCAGCCAGAGGGAGAAAATTGTTTTCACGATTGAATAGAGAATAAAACCCCCTTTCAAATGAGCTGTCACTCACCACCCCATGCAATTTAAATTTCTCGAAAGGGTTGCTCCCCTCCACATTGTAGAAATCAAAAATCGACGTGTCTCGGCGATTTTCTTAACAAGACTCCAGTAACGAGTTAGTTAGGGGGGGTAAGACTTATGATGTTCACTGTATATAATTTCCAAATATTTTGTTCTGATAGCACTTAAAAGATTTGCCCATTTTCTATATTTATCTATCCTGCCGAGTAAAACTACGTTAGAATGGAACAGTAGCCACGTTTATTTAGATTTGAAATTGTCCTTATCACAAAAAGTTTTTGTCACTGCTTAATCGTAAAATAAAAAAAACGATAAAAATAACTTGGTTTAATTACTTTTATTAATTAAAATGCAGTTTCACTTAGTAACGAAGAAATTTTACACTCACAATGGTCAGATAATAAATTAAGTTTTAATTTGATATGAAAAACAACTTAAAAGTCCGTGGTTTTCCGTCTGAAAACCAGGATTTTGTAGGAGCGAAATAAGTTCAACCTATACCAAGGTTAATTCAGTTCTATATTGAAACTTGGAACTTGGAACGATCTCTATGATCCAAATTAGAGGTGGTATTGATTCAATGTTGTTGTTTGTGTAAGTTAGTTTGGAGCCTGATTATGACGTTAACACAGTTCAATTCGGATTTGGTGACATGGTCGTGCTTATGAAGATATTGTCTATACAATCAGCGTTTTAGTAAAATGAGAATTAGGATGAGTTTGGTGAAGGCTTTTTGTGAAGTGTTAATGGAAGTAATTGGATCTGAAGTTTCAACAGCGTTGAAGATGGTGGTTTGGACTTCTGTTACCAGTGTGTCGATGTCCTGTGAGGAATTAAGCGAGCGTTGCTCAGGAATATTTAAAATAGTGGTCAATCTGCTTCCGGAATGTAAAAATTGTAGCTCTTGGTTAAGCGGGGTTAAGGAGAGATATGTCACGTTAATAGAAGATATTCGCAAGTATTTATTAGCATTAGTGAAGCATTTATTAGCAACCAGTCCAGTACAGGAATCTGTCAAAACGACGTGGTCGATAATAGATGAGATACAAAGGTCGAAAGTCGGTTTGAGGTTTTGAATATGGGATAGTTGATAAGCAGATTAGCCAGGCGAATACCGGTTGGGTTTGAGTTGTGATCTCCGAATATGGTATGTCTGGAGTTCAGATCTCCAAGAAAAACGACACGAGGAAGTGAAGATAGATAGTCTATCAGAGGGGTGGAGATGATTTGACCTGGGTGGTTGAAATAAGAGATAATAGTTAATGGATTGTCTGTTGGAAGGTCTATTGCCATTATATCTAGGTCTACTAAATCAGCAGGGAGTGTATGTAAGTTAAAATAATTGAATTTTTGATTAGTAAAGCATTCACAAAGCAATTTTGAGATTTGTTTTGAAATGCAGCTGATTGAAAGTTTAGAATTAGTGTCTGTTAATGATAATATTTACAGATTTTGGGTATTTAAAAGAATTTTTATCAAGAGTCTCTTCCGAGTGATGTCATTGCAATTAACAGTTCCAATCAGACAATTCATTAGGTCACGGTTTTTTGGAGAATAGGTAAATATAGCTAAATTTTCATAATCTATGATGGTACATTAATGGCCGAAGATGGCTGGGATTTGCAATCCCAATAACTTGACTAAAAATTCTCGAGATGTTAGCTTTAGGTGGCGGGGAAGTTTGGAGGGTGACAGAAGCAACCTGTTTGAGTTTTTGTAGAGTTTTTTTGCCGTTCTGGGCAAGTTATGGAGACAGTTCGAACAGTTTGGCGCCTCAGTCTTTTTACAGTCTATTGGCCTATGATACTGCCCGTCATTTGGACAGGCAGGTTTTTCTGAGCTTCGAGTGTAGTATTTATATGCGTGTCCAACCGGTATTAGGTTTTTTAATGATGTCTGCCAGACCCTAGGTAATGTTGTTTTTTCTTTCTTTCTATTGAATTTCTTTTGATGTTTGTGTATTTCTTTAGCCTACAAGTGCAATCTGGTCGAGTAATGTCCTAAAGTTGCTAGTAGGTCAGTGTTTTCGAAAAGGCTCTTGTATACCAATGCTTCTTTCTGTTTGTCCTATATACAGGGTGTACCAATAAAAACTCCCAGGCCGGATATTTTGGTAAGTAATAGATATATTTTAATTCTGTAAAAGCCAGTTCACAGGGCACTAAGAGAGCTTCAGTTTTAGATATAAATTGATTTTAAATAGGTCAATATGTAGATGGCGCTGCGCTCAATAATTATTTTTCGATGGGAGGATCTTTCTTGTGTAGCGCATCTTGTAAAAAATGCATTTTTAAGCAAATTTTGTTCTATGAACTAATTCGATAAATGTAGCCATTTTTGATATACAGAGTGGGTCATTCAAAATAGTTTCATCCTGTTTTTCGGCATTAATCATTGTATTTTTGGAAAATGCTAAAACAGGTCGATTTTTATTCCAAATTAAAGACATTTATACAATATAGACATATGTCATGTGTCAACCCCCTCCCTTATACTTCTCCACACCTTAATTTTAAATAGGTAATGTACCATGTATGGCTCATCATTGAAAAGGTAATTTAATGGGGGATTCAGAAATATTTCTGTAAATTACGTTACTTAAATTTTATCGCCCTCTAGCGGGATAAAAAACTGCTACGTATTGTAGAGTGTGATACAACAATGTGTAGTACATCATTAAAAAGGTAATTTTATGGGGAATTTGGAAATATGACTGTCCATTGTGATACTTTTAATTGTACTGCACTCTATCGAGAAAAAAAACTACGTATTTTAAAGTGTGACACCTTATTTGAAAGCAAATTTAATTACTAATTCAATGTACCACATAACATTAATTAATAACAATATTATTATAAATATCCACATTGCACTTGCAATAGTTTAAAAATTAGTCATGCATTATTTTAAACATTATTGCTAACTTTATTTTGTTGCAAGTGCAATATGGAAATATTTATATTAATGTTATGTGGCGCATTGAATTAGTATTTAAATTAGCTTTCAAATGAAGTGTCACACTTTAAAATATGTTACAGATTTTTTATCCCGATAGAGGGCGCTAAAATTAAAAGTTTCGCAATAAACTGACATATTTATGATTTCCCCATAAAATTATCTTTTTAATGATGTGCCGTACATGGTACATTCCTTATTTAAAATTAAGGGGTTGGAGAAGTGGAAGGGAGGAGGTTGACACATGACAGATGTCTGTATTGCAAAAATGTGTTTAATTTAGAATAAAAATCGACCTGTTTTAGCATTTTGCAAAAATACAATGATTAATGCCGAAAAACAGGATGAAACTGTTTTGAATGACCCACTCTGTATATCAAAAATGGCTACATTTATCGAATTAGTTCATAGAACAAAATTTGCTTAAAAATGCATTTTTTACAAGATGCGCTACACAAGAAAGATCCTCCCATCGAAAAATAATTATTGAGCGCAGCGCCATCTACATATTGACCTATTTAAAATCAATTTATATCTAAAACTGAAGATCTCTTAGCACTCTATGAACTGGCTTTTACAGAATTAAAATATCTCTATTACTTACCAAAATATCCGGCCTGGGAGTTTTTATTGGTACACCCTGTATACTTTTTCACAAGTACATTATACACTGTAGACTCCTGCTGATGTGAAGGGGTCTTTGCAGTCTCTCGCTATTTTGAGATATTCCCCTAGTGTTAATTTTCTTTTTCTTTAGAATTTCTTCTTTGATACCTTCTACGTACGGTAGATAGACAGTTTCTGGGTAATGTTCTTCAGTAGACTTGTTCTTATTCTCCCTTGGGTGCGTAGCACGGATTGTCTTTTTGCTCTATCTGTTTGCTTGTAACACTGTTGTAAGTAACAGTTTCTAGTAAGTTATTGTCAGCTTTTAAATAAATGCCTAAAGCCTGGTTTAGATACGCAACTTATCCTCCTAATAATAATTCCAAGATTCTCTTCTTCTTCTCATAATATCTAATTGAAAAGGTCATCAGAATAATCGTGACATACACATCATTTATTAGACTGCATATACATATATAACCGGTTTGATTTTTATAAAATTTAGAATGCATTTGATTTTCTATGTTTAATTTGATTAACTAGACAGTTGAGAATTATTATTATTGAGCCATAGATTATACAGGGGAGCACAAAAATTTAACCGGTTATTTAATGTATATGGGTGATTTATTTATATATTTTTCTCTGTGTACAAAATTCCAAAGGTATTTATTCTGGAAATATTACTTTATTATATTATTCATTCTAATTTTATTTCATAATATTGTTTGTAATATAATAATAATGTAATGTTTATGTAATACAGAACAAAATCTAATGTCTACATGCAAAAAATGCACTTTTTAAATGATAACATCAAAAAATGATAAAAAACTTGACCAGTAAACATTTCTATCGAACTTTCATGTGTTTACTGTATACAAATTAGTTTTAATACACCATTAAAATAGTTTTACCTGGTGGAAACGAATAACTAAATATGGGTCTCTGTTGTGGAACATCTGGAGAGTTTACAGCTGCTGGTAATAAATTAGGAGATGCTTGAATCGGTGGTAAAGTTGAGGCTTTAATACTTGGTCTGGGATTTCTTCTTATTTCTGAGTAACCAAGAGCTCCAGATCCCAATATGTATGCACCTAGAAATAATTAAACATAAGTCTTTATTTATAGCGATGTCCACATCCAAACAAAGAAAATTAATATGATTTAAATTGTATATTTATAAAACCCAAAACAATCTTCCCTAATATCCCCAAGAGAATTGTATTATGTAAAATCGTTATTGTAAAAAAAGGTTCATACATCCTTGAAAAAATCAATATTAATACATTAATTCAAACTCCATAAATTTCATATTTTCCAGGCGTGGAAATTGGGCGCGTCTATGGTATTAAATAAAATATGTTCATTGCACCAATATTTCGTCATATTGTCACCACAGCTATTACTTCACAAATGAATTAATTGTGAACCTTTAAGCGTTTAATTACTACCTTAAGACAGGTGGGTGGAAAGAAAAAAGTTATTCTATACCTACCACTTAACGTGTCTGAATATCGTTACACCGAGAAAAAATGTTTTGTAGTTAATAGATTAAAGTAATGTGGTTATTTATATAAACCTGTGATATCACTAAATAAAATTAAATACCTATTTATTTAAATTAGAGTTAAATATTGATATCCGAATTTGCAAATGTACTGTAAATCAAATTCCGACACAAATTCTCATACAGTTAATAAATATTTTCTTATTAATAAAGTTTCTTTTTTCTCAGTGTAGTATTTGGTTAATTGATATAATTATTGGAAGAAAGGTCGTCACACTTGTGTAAAAACTGGTCGTACAGTAATAATATGGATAAGTCAATGGTAATTGTCGATATAATTAATCAAATATAAGTATTAATTGACTGCTTTTACATAATTGGAATGGTGTTGCTAAATCTGATGTATTGATGATAAAAATTAAGTTGTTATTCTAAATTTTAATTAATTAACATTGATAATTCTATGTAAAGAAAGATAAATATTTCTGTTTGAAGCATAGCTAAAAAAACTAGAAGAATTAGACAATATTTTAAATTTACTATTACACAACTTCAAAGAATCTGCAATTATAAAATAAATTGGACTTTATTTTATGTACAGAAATTGGTATTACATTCTCTATTTCGTATTCTAAAAGAATTATTTATTTTGTCTTTCATATTGCCTTTGTAATTACAGTATAAGTTTGTTTGCAAATAAAATAACTACACTTTATTTACACTGAACAAATCAAATGCGAATAGTAGATGATTAAAGAAAGAGCAGGCCACTACTTACAAAAATCACCACGAGATGGCGCTGCTTGTCTAGATATTCATAAAAGTTAATAAAAATTGATAAAAATTGGTAGAAATTAATAAAATTTAATACAAATTGATATAAATTGATATAAATTGATATAAATTGATATAAATTGATATAAATTGATATAAATTGATATAAATTGATATAAATTGATATAAATTGATATAAATTGATATAAATTGATATAAATTGATATAAATTGATATAAATTGATATAAATTGATATAAATTGATATAAATTGATATAAATTGATATAAATTGATATAAATTGATATAAATTGATATAAATTGATATAAATTGATATAAATTGATATAAATTGATATAAATTGATATAAATTGATATAAATTGATATAAATTGATATAAATTGATATAAATTGATATAAATTGATATAAATTGATATAAATTGATATAAATTGATATAAATTGATATAAATTGATATAAATTGATATAAATTGATATAAATTGATATAAATCGATATAAATTGGTATAAATTGATATAAATTGATATAAATTGATATAAATTGATATAAATTGATATAAATTGATATAAATTGATATAAATTGATATAAATTGATATAAATTGATATAAATTGATATAAATTGATATAAATTGATATAAATTGATATAAATTGATATAAATTGATATAAATTGATATAAATTGATATAAATTGATATAAATTGATATAAATTGATATAAATTGATATAAATTGATATAAATTGATATAAATTGATATAAATTGATATAAATTGATATAAATTGATATAAATTGATATAAATTGATATAAATTGATATAAATTGATATAAATTGATATAAATTGATATAAATTGATATAAATTGATATAAATTGATATAAATTGATATAAATTGATATAAATTGATATAAATTGATATAAATTGATATAAATTGATATAAATTGATATAAATTGATATAAATTGATATAAATTGATATAAATTGATATAAATTGATATAAATTGATATAAATTGATATAAATTGATATAAATTGATATAAATTGATATAAATTGATATAAATTGATATAAATTGATATAAATTGATATAAATTGATATAAATTGATATAAATTGATATAAATTGATATAAATTGATATAAATTGATATAAATTGATATAAATTGATATAAATTGATATAAATTGATATAAATTGATATAAATTGATATAAATTGATATAAATTGATATAAATTGATATAAATTGATATAAATTGATATAAATTGATATAAATTGATATAAATTGATATAAATTGATATAAATTGATAGAAATTGATAGAAATTGATAGAAATTGATAGAAATTGATAGAAATTGATAGAAATTGATAGAAATTGATATAAATTGATATAAATTGATATAAATTGATATAAATTGATATAAATTGATATAAATTGATATAAATTGATATAAATTGATATAAATTGATATAAATTGATATAAATTGATATAAATTGATATATATTTATATAAATTGATAGAAATTGATAGAAATTGATAGAAATTGATAGAAATTGATATAAATTGATATAAATTGATAGAAATTGATAGAAATTGATAGAAATTGATATAAATTGATATAAATTGATAGAAATTGATAGAAATTGATAGAAATTGATAGAAATTGATAGAAATTGATAGAAATTGATAGAAATTGATAGAAATTGATAGAAATTGATAGAAATTGATAGAAATTGATAGAAATTGATAGAAATTGATAGAAATTGATAGAAATTGATAGAAATTGATAGAAATTGATAGAAATTGATAGAAATTGATAGAAATTGATAGAAATTGATAGAAATTGATAGAAATTGATAGAAATTGATAGAAATTGATAGAAATTGATAGAAATTGATAGAAATTGATAGAAATTGATAGAAATTGATAGAAATTGATAGAAATTGATAGAAATTGATAGAAATTGATAGAAATTGATAGAAATTGATAGAAATTGATAGAAATTGATAGAAATTGATAGAAATTGATAGAAATTGATAGAAATTGATAGAAATTGATAGAAATTGATAGAAATTGATAGAAATTGATAGAAATTGATAGAAATTGATAGAAATTGATAGAAATTGATAGAAATTGATAAAAATTGATAGAAATTGATAGAAATTGATAGAAATTGATAGAAATTGATAGAAATTGATAGAAATTGATAGAAATTAATAGAAATTGATAGAAATTAATAGAAATTGATAGAAATTGATAGAAATTGATAGAAATTGATAGAAATTGATAGAAATTGATAGAAATTGATAGAAATTGATAGAAATTGATAGAAATTGATAGAAATTGATAGAAATTGATAGAAATTGATAGAAATTGATAGAAATTGATAGAAATTGATAGAAATTGATAGAAATTGATAGAAATTGATAGAAATTGATAGAAATTGATAGAAATTGATAGAAATTGATAGAAATTGATAGAAATTGATAGAAATTGATAGAAATTGATAGAAATTAATGGAAATTGATAGAAATTGATGGAAATTGATGGAAATTGATAGAAATTGATAGAAATTGATAGAAATTGATAGAAATTGATAGAAATTGATAGAAATTGATAGAAATTGATAGAAATTGATAGAAATTGATAGAAATTGATAGAAATTGATAGAAATTGATAGAAATTGATAGAAATTGATAGAAATTGATAGAAATTGATAGAAATTGATAGAAATTGATAGAAATTGATAGAAATTGATAGAAATTGATAGAAATTGATAGAAATTGATAGAAATTGATAGAAATTGATAGAAATTGATAGAAATTGATAGAAATGATAGAAATTGATAGAAATTGATAGAAATTGATAGAAATTGATAGAAATTGATAGAAATTGATAGAAATTGATAGAAATTGATAGAAATTGATAGAAATTGATAGAAATTGATAGAAATTGATAGAAATTGATAGAAATTGATAGAAATTGATAGAAATTGATAGAAATTGATAGAAATTGATAGAAATTGATAGAAATTGATAGAAATTGATAGAAATTGATAGAAATTGATAGAAATTGATAGATAGAATTGATAGAAATTGATAGAAATTGATAGAAATTGATAGAAATTGATAGAAATTGATAGAAATTGATAGAAATTGATAGAAATTGATAGAAATTGATAGAAATTGATAGAAATTGATAGAAATTGATAGAAATTGATAGAAATTGATAGAAATTGATAGAAATTGATAGAAATTGATAGAAATTGATAGAAATTGATAGAAATTGATAGAAATTGATAGAAATTGATAGAAATTGATAGAAATTGATAGAAATTGATAGAAATTGATAGAAATTGATAGAAATTGATAGAAATTGATAGAAATTGATAGAAATTGATAGAAATTGATAGAAATTGATAGAAATTGATAGAAATTGATAGAAATTGATAGAAATTGATAGAAATTGATAGAAATTGATAGAAATTGATAGAAATTGATAGAAATTGATAGAAATTGATAGAAATTGATAGAAATTAATGGAAATTGATAGAAATTGATGGAAATTGATGGAATTGATAGAAATTGATAGAAATTGATAGAAATTGATAGAAATTGATAGAAATTGATAGAAATTGATAGAAATTGATAGAAATTGATAGAAATTGATAGAAATTGATAGAAATTGATAGAAATTGATAGAAATTGATAGAAATTGATAGAAATTGATAGAAATTGATAGAAATTGATAGAAATTGATAGAAATTGATAGAAATTGATAGAAATTGATAGAAATTGATAGAAATTGATAGAAATTGATAGAAATTGATAGAAATTGATAGAAATTGATAGAAATTGATAGAAATTGATAGAAATTGATAGAAATTGTTAGAAATTGATAGAAATTGATAGAAATTGATAGAAATTGATAGAAATTGATAGAAATTAGTAGAAATTGATAGAAATTGATAGAAATTGATAGAAATTGATAGAAATTGATAGAAATTGATAGAAATTGATAGAAATTGATAGAAATTGATAAAAATTGATAGAAATTGATAGAAATTGATAGAAATTGATAGAAATTGATAGATATTGATAGATATTGATAGAAATTGATAGAAATTGATAGAAATTGATAGAAATTGATAGAAATTAATAGAAATTGATAGAAATTGATAGAAATTGATAGAAATTGATAGAAATTGATAAAAATTGTACAGGTAGTATTATTTTTCGGTCACTTCTGGTGGTCCTGATTATCTACTGCGATTAATGCAGAAAACAAATATATTGCAACAAATAAAATTTACTATTAGTAAACTTGAACCAATGGAAGATAATGAGTTTAGATTTTGTGAAGAGGACACAATACTTGCGTGTATACAAGATAGGAGGGTGATCTGCCCAAATTCTTAACATTGCTGTTAATATTGGCAGGGTTGTTGTAGATGACGAGACTACTTTTTGGCGGTTTAGCGACAGAAGGGGGAATAGCAGATTTTTTACTTCGCAGTACAGACTCCTATTAAAACATATATTAAATGAAACTAAGTCAGTAATTAAAAAACGTGTGTTTTTGGATTTGTAAAAAATATTTCAATACGCGTTTAATGCCAAAGATTGTCTCCGTCAAGTGATAATATAGCTTCCTATTGTAATCAGACTCTACATGACATACTATAGGATCATAAGATAACATTATCTTTTAAAAACATTATTGATGAATGGATTTGTGGAAATAATATTATATTTGGTTTAGTTATTTTTGATTCATATTACATGTATGCTTACATGTATGAACGACAAACCTCTAGAGTCAGTTAATTTGACGAAAATTAACCAATATCAGATATTAAAGGCCTAATTATTTTATTATGTAACGTACCAGAATCCATAAAAGGTTCACTTAAACCAATTTCGTCATTTTACGATACAGTTATGTGCAATATACGATAACTGATATCGACAGCTTTTAAAATGTTTCAATTTTTGCTTACCTCCTCCTAAATTAATTACTCCAAGTGATCCAGATCCGAGGAAAACTGAATTTCCATCACCAGGTACATTAGAAGCAGCTGCATTGACAGGAGTCGCTGGCGGTGGTTGATAAGGTATAACAGCAGCTCCGACAGACTGTGGAGGTACATATTCTTGGGTCTCTTGTACTGGCTTTTCAATAGAGTTCGACGATATTTGATAATAGCTTAAATCTAGAGCCTCTGTCGAGTATTCTGGCAGAGATAATACTTTTGCTGTAACAATATTTAATATTAATCAAGATTGACCTTTGAAAATCATACAAATTATAAATATTTGTCATCTAAGGGGTAGAATACGTTAACTATTAGATATCTCTCTTGAAACTTTGTAATGTTTGATTATGACAAGAGTTTAGCGATAAAATTTTTTACTTTTAAAAAAGTAGATGAAGCATATTAAAAAGATAAAACTAACCATTTTGGTATGAATACAAACTTTCACTACTAGGTGCTATACTATCACCAATTTGTACTTGGTTATTTCCTAACGTGTAAGTTGATCCATAATGCCCACGTCTTTTTCGTTTTGTTACTTCTTTTGCTTCATTTAATGCTAATACAGCAAGGAAATATATAAATATCTGGAACAAAAAAAATTGGGTTAAAATTAATAAAATATATTTTAAATCATCATGTAAAATTGCAAGAGGTACTTAGAAGTATTAAATAAAATTAATATCTTCGTTTATATTTATGATGAAAGGGACCGGTTCAATATGTTTACCATGATAAAAAATTATGTAAACTAATTATTTTTCTAAATTAGGTAAAGGAATATTTTCATTTTTAGCTTAATTTAAAAGACATGAGTATAAATAAAAAAAATTGAATAACTGTTTCAGTTTTTAAAATATTGTACAAGGAAATCAGATAATAATAATAAGATAATTGGATTGTTACTATGAATATATTTAATAATATATTTCTATTGACATTTGTTTATTTATAAAATCGTTTGACCATGAGAGTTTATCTAGTTTTATCCAACAATAAGTAAAAATTTGTCACTTATTGTATGAATATATTATATTTAATTTATAGAAATAACCTGTTTTTCAGTCATTATTAAAAAAAATCAAAAATTAGAAAATTAATAAACTGATTATACGATAACTATGTCTTATTACTAGCAATAAATCTTGTTTTTAATTTTCCTACCATATTTGGTATCTTATACAACCATTTATTATTAAAATAAACTCATAATGGTTTGAAAATGTGGAAATTTACACATAGGAATATTTATTCTTTCTTATATAATCTTTTGAATTACTTTTAATTAATTAATATTGTGAGCTGGGCTAGTTTCGTAGTGTGATAGAAATGGATATATGTTTACAATCACAGTAATCAGTATTAGGGGGTTATGATTGACAATCTGTATTATTTTTAACAGGTCTGTTATTTTATAAACAGACAGAAATAACAAGCTGTTCACAAATAACATGTCTGTTAAAAATAACATTACTTGTCCATCATAACCCCTATAATCTTTACAAAATTAGACTCATAGTCTAAGAACAGCTATTAAACACTCAGCAGTTAAATTTGTTACTAACTCTAAATGTATACCAAGAGTTGAAAAGCAAATAAGAAGTGATATGTAGCACTTAATGAGATTATAACCTCTGTCTCTGCGTAGTCCACTCCAGTTTTCCAAAATGGAGGAGTTGGCCGTACTCTCTCCTCAGGTAACACCCCCATAATTTGTTTAGTATTCTTTGGCTTTACTCGAAAACATCTTATACAATCAAAAACAAGCTTTTTGCTAAGTTCCGTCCCCCTAACGGCCAAAAATTTTTCCTAACAGAAGACAAGAGCAACTGCAGTCCACATTGTACTGCGGGTCGATGGACCAATGTTTCGGTGTTAAAACCTTTAGCTGGTTCCAACTATGAATTCCAATATTTTGTGAACTGTATCTAATATAAATTATAAGTTATTTTCTATTTTTAATCTTTATTTCAAATTTCATATGACATTGTATTTTCTAATCTACTTTGACGCTTTTTTTCGCCTTCTAATAAAATTACATTTTAAATAAAGTTCAGTGGCGTAACAAATACTAAACACTACAATGAACAGCAGTGACAGCTGACACAGGTGAAAAGCTCGATTCATCTTCACTACATTGTGGTATATTTGAAATAGGGAATTGAACCTTGAACGTTATTTCTAAATAACGTTTAAACAGCTATGAAATATAAGCAGATATTTCTAGGCACGTTTACCGATTAAAATGGAAATTTTAATTAATAAACCCAAATCGGGATAACCAAAAACGGATTACGATCCGCAAATCGTAGACTGAAATCCATTAAATCGTTTCAATAAACCGGTTGGTAAATATTTATGAGATTGGCCCTTCTAAAACGCCCTGTATGCAATCTAATGTGACTATTTTCTGTTAATATCTACGGGTATTGGGTCAGAAAGATCTTTAAATGCACGACCGTATCATAATCTATCGTAAATTCATTGTGTCAGGGTCGCTGGGAAATAAATACACCCATCGAGATCGTTTAGTGAGTGCTTTATTATGCCCGTGAGGTAGTCGGGCTATGCAGTAGAAAAAAATTGATTAAAAGGGATGATAAAAAAGGTATTTAAAAATATAAAATATAACTGAACTAAAACTAGTCGTATTCAAGTCACCAATTGTTAATAATAATCTTGTCAATCTTATAAAATAAAGCACAATAATTGAGGAAGTTTGGTGTAATTTGAAGGATAACTTATGTTTAAAAAACAGCTTCGACTGATGAACATTTCTTTAGGTATGAACAGAATAAAAGCGTCACTTAACTAAAATATATGTAAGTAGATAACAGACAATAATCTGCTTTTTACTGTCACTTTAGTAAACTAACAGAAATGTTTTAGATTTTTTAAGTCGTCTTCTTATGTCTGCATTATTTTCAAAGGACTACGGGATTTCAGTGTGGACAGGTTCATGCAGCCTGTCTTCACATTTTCCTGCAGATTTTTTTTTTTTTTTTTGTTTTTCTATTATGATAGTCATGTTGAGATCTTGATGTAAATTATGGTTCGGTATATATCAGAAAGCGTCCACCTTATTTTGAAGAAATAGAGGAAAATTATTGTATGTATTTTTTTTTAAGTAACATCTTCTTACTTTAGTTTTATGACCTTCAGCTCTTGGGTATTTAACCATTAGATAAAAGTGTCAGTTATATGCTAATTGCAGTAGAGCTAAAAAGTTTTTTAGTTAACAAAAAAATATGGAATTGCAGTCTAAGCATCTCAGTAACAGGTAGTGCTTGATTAGATTAATATTATTATAAAAACGCAAATTCAATGTTAAATATTAGAATTGTAAGTTCTTCTGTATCTTAATTTGTTTTTAAACTCTCTATTATTATGTTACTGATAATATCAAGAAAAAATTTCTGCATACTGACTATAATAGTTATTATTGAAAAATAACTATAATTTATAATCATTATTATGTTATTTTAGAGAAAATTTCGTAAGATTAAAATAACGAAACCACGATATAAAATAAATTAGGTTTTTCTATTTATAACGAGGCAAAAACTCGACAAGCTTTCTATTAATATAAAGTTATTAGTTGTCTTGCGTTTAATTTTTCGTCAAATATCTTATAATTACACATAATAACGGGTAAAATGTATATATAACCATATAAGGAGTATGAACTGATGTATAGGAATGCAGTGATGTTTGGGTAAAAAACAATTTAGACTGGGTGCATGTTGTATAACATGTCAATCAATCTCCTGTCATATATGTACGAGATACTTCGAAAGAGGTGTCAATTTTGCAACAAAAATCGTGTATTCCACGCAAGTGAGAAGAATTAACTGTGAGTAATTATTAAATTGTATACGAAATGGAAGATATTTTAATCATAGGTTCAGGACTTCAAAATAATAATATTAATATCTATTAGTTAATGAGATACAAGTAATATTTTGATTATTATTTAATGTTTTTATCAAATAAACAAGAGAAATAAATAGGAGACTATAGGAGTTTTTTTTTTGAAGACAATTATTCTTTCTTCTATTATTTTTTCTTCTGAGTAGGTTGCATGGCCCACAGTCTAAGGAGGGACAAATTACCCACAGTAACGAGTATCCTAACCGATCAATACCGATAAAATTTTGTACGTATTATAATTCTCAACAAAATTCCAATAGTATTTATTTATATTTTATCCACCATGTATATATTTATTTATTTATTTCAGAATCCTTAAAAATAAAAGAATAAACGATTTTTTATATTACTAAATAATTCTAGCATGTAGTAATTCTACACTTTTTTGCTTAGGTGATAATTTTGCAACAGGATATACACTTTAAAATACAATCCAGTATTTGATCTGCGTAAATACATAAAAATCGTTTCAATTAGGAAATATATGTTACATAAGAGATAAATTTAATCTATTTTTTACAGTCTACGAATTTTATTTCAAAATAATTTGTCAAAGACACATGATTATGTATGTCAAGCTGTATCAGAAGGAGATAGTCATTGACTAAGTTTATTTAGAGCATACGAGCTTTTAATATTGTAAGTATAAGCATAGTATAAAAAATATCAAACTGATTTAATAATATGCATTTATTGGAATAGAAGATTTTGAATATTCCTTACATTACTGCTTTGTGCTAAAACCTTTGAGTTATTTGCTTAAGTCGCCCCGGAGCGCCACGGCAAATAATAATAATAATTGCCGTCCCTTCCCCTACACAAGTCGTTAAGTCGACTTCAGGCATTGAAATGCACTCGTAAGGGGGTGAATTAGGGTGAATGTTATTATTATTTGTATATTATTATTGTTAACCCAGCCCCATAATTGAATACTATAGGCACAGCTTATACAATACAGCTCCACAACTCTTTGATCTGGCGGTCGAGAACCAAGCAAGACGGAATGGTGCTATCTCTGTTAGATTCGAGGGAAAAGTCGGGCCCGGATTAAACAATTTTTTTATTATTGAAAAAATTGAAAATATTGGCATAATAAAGTTGGTTACATGCCATATTAAGTAAGTTTTGGGAAATTAAATTTTTAATTTGTTTTAAATCTGTTAAATATAATTAAAAAAATTATTTAAATATAAATATTACGAAAAATAGCACATCTTTCGGATTAGAGGTAAAATAATTTGTATGTGGCTAGTAAAATCCTCGTTAACAAATGTTTTGACCTAAAACAGTCACTTCACGACAAATTGTGTCTTGGATCCTTTTTACACCAAGGGCTTCAATTGTTAAAGAATTTTGTCACGCTCGTGGATGCAAATAAAGTGGTACCCCGTGTGTCTGGCAAGTGTTACTCTTCGCGCAAAGGGTTTATATCTAGATAAACGAAGCTTCGACTAGGGTCTGGGAACTCTATGGTATATTGGAATTATAAAGAATTTGTGCTTTTATTTTAACAATATTGGTTATATTTAGATGTATTCTTATTAATTGAAATACAGATATGTAGAAGTAATACTTTGACAGTTTTTATTAATATTATATATTTATTCAATTTTTATCTGACCATACCGAAGTAGGGAATTTTGTAACTTTATAATAA